CTCTCTCAGAAGCATTTCTCAAGCCAGTCTTGCACCCGGAGGGGACACCACGGAGGGGGACCCTCTTTGCAGCCCTCCCAGGGAAGCAACGAACGTCTTAACGGGGAAGCGAGTCCCAATGCCTCCTGTGGACTGGGATGCTGAATGGCTTGGCCAGTTACGAAGGAAGCTCTGCCTTTTATCCCTTCATTAAGCAACCCAAAGGGAAGGAATGAAATACATGGGGAAAAGTTGGAGCCACCAAGCGCAGGTCACCAAGGACCGGTGTCACGGGCAGGTGCCCCCACCTCCCAGACCCCCCCTGCGTTTCTCTTAAAGAGTGGAGTCACCTGAACGCCACCAGAAAGGGCACCTCTCTTCCTCTCACGTTGCTTCTACGTTCCTACTAAGAACAAATCCTTCATCCCTTGGGGGGGGGGGAAGGTGCCTCTCTGGCCCCAGAAACCAAACCCGTTTGTGCAAATCACAGTGACGTGGTGGAGAGGCAGCCGTGTGCCTGCTTGCATGGGCTCTGCGGCCACCCGGAAGGTGGCTGATGAAACGAGGGACGTGTCGATGGATCGATTTAAAAAGGGAGACGGGACGCCTTCAGCACTTCGCCCTTTGAAGGAAGGGAAGTGAGATGAGAAGGTTGGCCTTCATCCACGTTCTCAAGAGGACAGAAGGAGGCAGGAGGTTGTGGGGAGTCCGGTGGGAAACGCAGCATGTGGTTTCGGTGTGCGCAACCCCAGGTATGCTGGCCTTAGCTCTCCAACAGACTGAGGGTGGGGTGGGGTGGGGACGAAGGCACACAGCGGCAAGCACCAAGAAGGGGGTGGGTTTTGCTGACGATCTTCACGATGGCCGAGAGGCTCCTTTCAGGCAAAGATCCGTGTAGAAACATGTGGCAGTTTGGGTGAAGCTGAGAAACTGATTTTCTCTGGGAGACGACACACAAGGACGGTGAGGTCGGGTGGGGGGGAAGGAGTGTGCAGAGTGAGATAAGCTGAAATGACCTGACCTATTTTGGAGACGGAGGGGAAAAAAGCCTTCTGAGAGTTTCTCCGGTAATTATTTTTCCAGATTCTCACACTCCTTTTTCACATGTTGATGTGGGCTAGAGATGAGGGTGTTCGTATACGAATATTCCCGCCCAGCTGGACTCGAGGGTCCGACCCCTGGGGCCAGACTGTCCACTCACATGCCTGGCTCACCCTTCCACTCGCTCCCGGATCCCTGATCTCTTCCGGCTTGGCTGGCTACTCAGCCACCATGCGGGGAGACTCGTCCTTCCCTCCCCTTGCCTGGAGTGGCCAGCTGGATTGGAAGAGAAGCAGAGCCCTGATTGGAAGGATGATCGAGGCAGCTGCTGCTGCTGCCAGTAAGTCCAGCTGCGTGGGGATATTCATATATGAAAACCCCCATCTCTCCTCTGGGCACAATGTACTTTTTCCCCACAAGATGTGCCATGTGCTGAATTTATGAATGGTGCCAAAGATTGGAGAAGTTACTTGTGGGAGGGGGGTTTACATCTCCCCAAATATCCAAAAGTTGGCATGACCAGCTTTTCCTATCTTGCTAAGGATGTCTAAAGGCTTCAGCCAAGGTGTGTTGGGAACTGTAGGGGAGAAAGAGAGAGAGAGAGAATATACTGGCTAGAAGTTTTACCTCTGCTACTGACTGACTGGATGGCTATGGCCATGTCACCCTCAGTCTTGATTCCCATCTGTGAAATGGGAGCCCCTGTGAACATAAGGGTAAATAGCGGTCATTAAGGAGGTAAATTTAATTAAGGTTTTGTGAATTAGGAATCCTGACTGAATGATATATAGCAGCGGTATCACACCATTCAGTTCTACATCTGCATATTTTACCACGGAAAATGATGTGTTGACGTCAATATGTTGTGCGATCCTGCCCTCCAAAACATGTTAAAGGTAGCTATTTCTCTCCCTTCTGTTGATCGGTTCCCCCTGCTTACGAGCAGCTCGCACAATTTCCGAGTCCTTGTGCCTCTCAGATCCAAGACTCTTCCACATTGTCTGAAATATTCAGCCAGGTGGGGGACAGGAGTTGCTCACGACCAGATACCACCCAGGCGGTGAGCATGTGAGAAAGAGCCTCTGCCCTGGGGGTGCCTTTGGATGGACAGTGCCGGATGGAGGCCCTTGGGAGGCAGACTCGAGAGAGCCGCCCTCACCAGCCAGATTGAGACCCTTAACTTGGCTAGAGAGCTAGCGGTCCAACCTAACGAGTTGTATTTTTCACACGCCCGGTGCAAACTGGCCGTCAGTTACGAGGGTGGGGAACTCGGCAGCACTTTAGTCTAGAAGGGCGAGACTCTTCTCAAGCCACCTCCTCTGAGCAGGGCGCCCTTTGGACTTTGAGAGGCCCTGGGGCAAGACAAAACAAGGGATCTACTGGGATTCCCAAGTCTCTCAAGAGGTGCACTGGCTGCATCTCGTTCTTCTTTGCTTTTTCTAAATGGGAGCTCACCCGCATTCCTCCTACCCCCCCCCCCGGCAATCCTGTATAGGTACCTGTTGTAACATGTAGTGGTGGCCTGAGAACGTGGCTTAGCAACACAGATGCTGGAAGTAGATGAAATGATTTGAATCCCTGAAAACAAAATTCCACTCCCCACTTGGTTACTGGGATCCATCCCCCCCCCAACGAACCCTGTCTTCTAGCTTCTAAAAGTCTTTTCACATTGCTTTTGTAGCTAAGGGATTTATTATATTTTTGAATGTATTGTGGGAGTGAAATAAACACCCTTACTTCTTTTCAAATACGAAGCAGGTGTGTTCCAGCCCAAGGTAAGCACTCTGAGCTTAAATTGATTTCAGTGGCTCGGCTTTCATCTGCTAAGCTCTCTTCTTGTGCAAATAAAAACACAGTGTGACTTTGGAAGGGTTTGATTATGGCTGGCTTGTGAGCCCGACGTGCAACCTTACCAGGTGGCTTCCGGGCTCAGAGGGCCACAGCAAGAGATAAGGGGAACTGCTGGGCACACATATGCCCTGGCATACGCCCGCTTCCTTTTCATATATATGGGTTGCACAGATGTCCTTGGTGACCAGTTGCAGGTAGAGAACGTTGGGCTTGAGCCGTTGGGTGGTGCGAGAAGAGTGCAGAAAAGCACTTAGGAGAAGCACAGAGCAGAAAAGCACATGGCGGCTGACTTCCTGTTTGGAGGAGAGAACATAACATTTATGCTGCCATGTGAAGCCCAGGATTTAGAGAGGTGGGAAGCATGACCTTCTTTTCTCAGGGGGGAGACCGGTGAGCTTGTTGGATGGATTTCGAAAAGGATTGGATGAGGTTCGTGGAGGGTAATTCTTCTAGCCTTGCCTGCTTTTCTTCCGAGTGCGGTCGCGTTCAAGAGCATCGTAAGCACAGCCTTGTAAGGTTGCAATAGTGGGAGGCACTCAAAGGGAAGCCTGCGTCTTCATGGTGCTGCTGCCGGCAGATGTTTTAAGCCAAGCATTTCCAGGCGGCTCTCCCTCCACCACCCGCACGGTACAAACAGGAAAATAAACTATGATGATTTCCGTCTGTGCCGTCTTTTGACAAAGACTGAGAGTGGCAAGCAAGGCGACGCAAAGCTCAGGTTCCAAAACCCAATGGCCTGGGATGCGATTTAGTCACGTTATGGAGCTGGGTGGCTCACAGAGCAGAGAGATTCAAGTCCCTTTTGTAGATAGGCCTCTGCCCCCCCATCCCCCCCCCCAGAGCAAAGGGTACTTTGTCTGCAGGCAGAACAAAGCGGCCCTGTGCAAGAAGAGGCGGAGGCGCTGCTTGGTGCGCACGTAAACAACCCCCCCGCTGGACCTACCTCCCACAAAAGGATCCACTGTTTTGGTCTCTAGGTTGTGGCCGGTTCCATCAGAGGGCTACTGTGCCGCTGCCGTCAGGGATGGCCAGAAACAGGATTTGGCCGGGGAGCAGCAGTTGAACCTGATCCTGCTGAACAGCTGATGCAAAGAGGAGGAGGAGGAGCGCAGGCCACCACTGGGGAGCCTGCTTCTGCCAGCTCCACTGAGAGGGCTGGGAGCTGAACAGGAGGGCTGTGTGAACAGGGCAGCTTGCGCTCAGAAAGTGCGAAGAGGAAAGGAGGTTAGCATCCTCGGGGGCTGGGAGGAGGTTTTTCTCAGTCCTGATGGTTCAAAGTGCCTCCCCCCCCCCAAGTTTGGAATGGGAGTTCCAACCCTTTTCTTTCCTGTTTGCTCAGCCATAGTTGCAGAACAACCTTGGAAGAAAAATAAAAGTCTGTTTTGGTGTTTTTGTTAGTACCTGGTATTATTAAAATAATAATAATAAAATATGTTTTTCCCAAATCTAAAGATTCAAATCTGATGACTGGGGGGTGGGTGGGTTGAAAAGTGTAAATCAGGTCACATTGTTTTCCAAGTACATTAAAATTCTCTGCACATGAGTTCAAACCAAAACATTCCCAATATCTGTGATGTATATATTGTTATTGCGTGCTTGCCATATTTTAATGGAAGCATCTCCTATCCTTTGTGGATAAAAGATCCCTTTTTTCAGGTTGTAGTAAATTATTATGAGGCCAATGATATTTCATGGCACGTTATTATATCAAGCTGTGCTTGTTTTGTTTTTATTAATTTTTCCCTTTATTGGTTGTATTGCTTTTATTAATGTATAAATATTTCCTGTAATAACGAAAATCTCCTTTGCAAAACATTAATTGAATTCACAGTCTTGCGTGAAGATACACCGGCAAACAACCGTTACAGGCCTGTTTGCATTGAGTGTGGGGAACCAAGGGCAGTGGGCTCAATCCACCAAGTACTACTTTTGGATAACCTCCATTTATCCCAGCCTTAAGGTGGTAAGAGAAGAACCAACATTTATTGTGACCGTTGAGCAGATGGTAGAGTGGCCTCTCTGTTCTCCTTCTCGAGCTCTGCAGTTTGGGCCTTGTGCCTGGATAGGGACCCGCTCCATTGTTCCAGGTGTAAACTTGTTGGGTCCCATAATCTTACAGGGATTGCACAAAGGCAACGGGAAGGTTGCCTTCAGGTTGGTTTCACTACCACAAAAACAAACAAACCCTGCTTCTGGGTTTTTTTTTTTAAATGAACAACAGGATGAGTGTCTTCCCCAACACCAACCTCAAATGCTCATTTGAATTGTGAGTGGATGCCCCGTTGTCTAGGACAGCCTTGATGCCCTCCAGTTAAGTCAGGTGGGAACACTTGTCACTCCCAGTCAGAATGTCGGTTGGGCGTTACAGTCTGACCCATCTTGGAAAGGGTCAGGAGCTGTGGCGGAAGGCCATGGTGCAGGTGGAGCAAGGGAAGTGGTGGATCGGTGCCTTGACAGGCGGCCACTGGGAACTCATGGAAGCGAGCAGAGGTGATAAAGAGCATTGATTCCCCCAGGCCTTGGGGTTTAGGGAATTGTTTTTTAAGTAAGGATTCCTTTTCCATTTGACTGAAACTGCAGGGATGCTGTAAGATTAAAGATGCCCGTGAGAGAGAACTCCATAGACAGGGATGCTTAGAACTGGTTGGATTGTGCCCCTATCCTTAGTCTCAAATCCGTGGCAATTAATGTTATGTAACAGCGAGGTTGAACTGGCTGTTGTACTATATACAGACATATAGTACTGTGTATGTATCTTCTTGTAACAGAAAATCCTTGGAACTTGTTATGGTGAATATTCCAAAACTAACCCTTTCTACAGAAACAAACGGGAATCCTTTATAGAGCAGTAAGAAGAGCAATGGATGGGTGGTAGGAAGGAGCTAGATGGTGCTATAATCCCTTGCTGCCATATCTGGAGGGGAAAAGCCCGAGTATAAAGATTCTATACACAGACCCATAGATTGGAACAGATGAATAGGTCTTGATAAACTTCAGCAAGCTTTAATTAACTAGCATGGTACCAGTGGTAGCATGGATTTATTAATCCTAGAAAGGCCAAGAGCCAGTGGCAAACATCTCCCTCCTACCCAATGGGTGGCCAGTCTAGAATTACGGGAAGTCACTGGAAGGGTGCAGAGGAAAGAGAACCTTACCCTGGGTGGAGAAGATGCAGATCAGGAATTCGCTTTCTCTTGGGTCAGTCTGGGCTGCCTTCGCTGGAGGAAATGAATGTCTGTTCAGCCAGCAAAAGTGTCTTGTTCTGTGCCCTTGGCTTATTTGCATGAGTCAGTTTTAGATACAGTCATTATTCTGTCAATTTTAATGTCATTAAAGAATTGATCCCAGCTCTGGCTTTGTATATTCTGTTTACAAGAAAAGGGAAGCGGGAAGCTGTCCCCATGGATATAGGTAAGCAAAAAAACAAGTCAACAGCTCTTCCTGCTCCCCACTTTGATGCATGAACTAGGCATCTGTGGCTTTGCTTGTGTTAAGGAGAAGACTGCTAAAGATCAAGGACATCTAAGCCAGGTCATGATCAGGTTGGGCACTTGTTCTTATTCAAAAAGCAAGATACAAAAAAAATAAGGCGCAGAAATAACAACCTAAACAACAGAATTTGACAGGGTGCGGAATGCACAGCAAAACCCGATCTACAGAGTGGTCCCATAAACAAAGACAAGCTGAAGAAGTACATTCCAAAGGAAATGAGCAGAGGAGGACTGAGTTATCAAAATGTTCCAGTTTTTTACACACACACACACAAAACGTGCACATTTTGCTTTGATATCTTCAAGCTCAGGCCAGCAGCGGCCATGTGGGGTTGGGGGAGGACTATGAGTATAAGGAGTTGGAGGGAAAGTTGGCCAAGAGAAAAGCACCCAAGACCACTCTGGTGAACCATTCATGCCCGGCTGCTCTCTTCCTCTCTCCCCAAAAATAATATAAGAAGAAAGGTAGGTTCTTGGCTCTCTCTCTCTCTTTCTTATCTTCCAACACACCAAAGCTTTCACAGATCGACCAACCAACCAACCAACCACCCCTTCCTTTTTGGCTCAGTATTAATTTCACTAACCTGCTCCACAGATTAGACTCAGGCTCTCTCTTCCAACGGACAGAGGCTCTTCCTCCTCCACCACCACCACCACACACATACTCCCTGGCTCAGTATTACTTTTATCAACCTTCCCCACAGATTAGGATCACTCCCAGTTCACAGATGGTGGAAACCAGCAGCCTAGCCTCCCATGGCCACTACATGCACTCGCTGGAGGCTCAGCAAATGTCTTCATCTCCTCTTGGAGCCCACCACACACAGACATTCAAATTTGGGGAGGCAGAAGTAACGCAAGAGCCGTGGCCCAACATAAAATGGAGTCCACCCTCTCTGATCTTGCCCTGCAAAGCAGTTGCTCGAAATAACATTGGTTATTTCTAACAGTGAACCTCATGGGTATCCTCTCAGCCACACACAGATCTACTTTCTCCCAGCTGCCCCTTCACCCAGTGACATGCGGCTTCACCATTTTATGAAAGAAGACTCTTGAAAACCAACACTTACCTTCTCTAGGTGATGGCTGGTTTTTGTTGCCCCAATGAAGACGGCACAATTAAGACACTTCATGACAACCTCACCACATTAAAAGGCTGCATGCAAGAACGGGCCCTCCACCCCGGCATGGCATTCTCCATCTATGACCCTCCAGATGTTCTGCAGTTCTAGAAGCCTCAGCGACCCAGCTGAGAGCTGAACACTACAACATCTGGAGGAATGACTGATCTAGGTCCTGAAGGATCGAGCAAGCAAGGCACCTTCCTAGTTTCAGGCTGTTTGCATTTTTTTCTGCCGTTGGAAAAATGATGAAGGCATGACTCCACTCTCCCAAGCAGAAGGGGCTTGTGCAGTCACAACAGCCACAGAGAATGGAGTTGGTTGAAAGAGTCAGCAACATCCCAGGGTTGCTGACCCGTTCAGCGAGGGTGATGGTTATGGTGCTCCCTCCCGCAAACTGGACAGGCCTTCATTGCTGGGAGAATCGTATGCCTCCACCAGACAACAGTCAATCCTCAGTGGATCCAAAGTCTTTTTGCAAAGGGAAAAAGAACATCGTCTGTGGCAACCCACAGCCTAAGGTTCTTCAAGCTTCTTTATCTACCCTCATTTGTGGTTACCTTTTTTTAAAAAAGGTCTTACCGCTGATCATTAGGGGATGAAATGGTTTAGCACCTGGGAGGCCTGAAACAACCACACTAGTGCAGGGACAAAGACGATGGCTTTAAAGAGGAAAAACAAATTGTACTTTGAAATGTTGCCACTTAACAATGCTATTGACGTACCCCACGGATTCAACACGGCCACAAACACAACAAATTATAAAGATCCTTGTATACATATGGAATAAGATTTGAGGAAAGGGAGGATTTTTAAAATCAACAACTTCCAGTACCAAAAAAGAGAGTCTCTTGTTAACATCTGCCACTGAATTAATGACGAACTATCCTATTCAACTGTAACAGATTTGGCCAGGTTCCTCGGAAAATCAACCTGGAAGGAAAAAAAGGATTTTAATATATATATGTGTGTGTATGTAAACTTCAGAGAAAAGCATGCTAGAAGGCTTATTAGATGGACAGCCTTATTTCACCAGGCAGATTAAAAAACATGGTCCACAAGCTATTTAATATGGCATTTGTGCTCAAACCAGGTCCGTCAAACCATCAGAATGCCCAGGTTAAATGAAAGAGCTACAGGCTCCCGTCGCTTGTGAAGACGCCCCGTAACTGTCTTACTTACACCTGGGAGGATGACCAGGGTTCCAATTCACTGCAATGACACACACACCCCCACTCCGGCTGTTCAAATGCATGTCTCCTTTGGTCAAAGTGATGACCAACCCTCAGTTTTGGCACCTGCCAGCCCAGCAAGGCCTTTCTTCAACTGGGCTTCTCTTTCTTTCTTTCTTTTCAAAAGCAAGGGATTGTCTTTGGACCCCGCCAAGCACCCCACCTAAGGCACAGGCAGGGACCTTGTGCTAAATCCCCTGCTCCAATTTGGCTTGGGGTGACCCTGAGCAAAGACGATCCGAACGGGGCTGAATCCTCCTCTCGTGACCAAGGGAGCGGTTCTTCTAGGCAGTGGCTGTGTCTACGCTGGGCCCTGTCCCAACCTTGCCCTTTTCATGGAGAACAAGGGAGGAGGCCAGGCAAGCGTGTCCTCGGCCCGTGCTGAGAAGCGCCCCTCCAGCAGAGGCCAGCCGAGTTCACTTCTCTGTTCCTGGGAGACCAGGAGCAGAGGGGGAAAGAGCAAAGATGTCTGTGGGAGTGTCTGTAGCGCAGGAAACAAAACCCTCCCCAAATAAGCATCTTAGGACTGCATAGCTGGAGGGGACCTTCTGGATCACGGAGTCCAGCCCCTCTCGAGGAAGCCCAGTGCGGGAATCGAACTCCCAGCCTCTGGCGCCGCAGCTGGAGACCTAAGCTAACTTTGTGCACAGGAAGGGCAAAGCCAGCAGCTGCTGGACAGCCTCTTCCTCCACGCAGGACAGAGTGATTTTCCCTCTCCCTCCATAAAGAAAGGCTAAAGGATGATGACGGCAGGTCAGGATTGGGGGGGGGGCTCCCTCCCCGACCTCATTCTAGGACCAGGAGTTGCTCCAGTGGGGCCTGAGAGAATTTGGCCCTCGGCCCAACATCCTTCCCCACCCACCCCCAACTCAAAGCCTCTCCGTCAAGAGGAAAATACATTCTCCACCTCGCTTCTGAGACAGGAAGGAAGAGAAGTGTTTTTAAAGAGCAGCACTTACATCATAGCCTCTGAGAACGGCCAGGTGGAAAGCCAGGAGTTGTAATGGGATAACGCTCAGAATCCCCTGCAGGCAGTCCACCGTGTGGGGGACTTTGATGGTTCGCTTGTTGTTCTTGATGGTCTCAATGTCTTCCTTGTCACAAATCACGACGGGCCGCCCCTGGAAGAAGGACCAGTTTGAGGAAACAAGGTGAAAGAGGAGAGGGGATACAGAAAAGGCCTTTCACATGCCTGGGAAACTCAAACCGTCCACAGTTTCTTGGGTTTTAAATCAAAGAAATAAAGCCAGATGGCCCTGCTAGAAGAAAGCCATGATCCCACTGCCTTTTCCTACTTTGAAAACCCGTTCCTTTTACCAACAACAAAATTCTTGTATCTAAGTAATAGCTGCAGTCACCTCATTAAGAAACCCACTCTTATTTCTAGAAAGCTCTTTAACTTTCTATTGTCTCGTGAGCAATTCAGCAAGGAGTCCACCGTGACAGTTCATCTACCCATCTATCCACTTCTGTGATTGCAGGGACACCTCCCCGCTTCCTCGCTCGCTCACCTGCCGCGCTATCACTTGCTGCAGGGCGTTCTGGCACTTGGTGTAGGTGTTGTCCCTCATGATGATCATGATCACCGGCATCAGCTTATCCACCAAGGCGAGGGGCCCGTGCTTCAGCTCGCCAGCCAGAATGCCTTCCGAATGCATGTAGGTGATCTCTTTGATTTTCTAGGGAGAAAAGAGCTGTGTGTTAGCTCAGCCCTACGCTAGTGCAATCCAGGTCTGGAACAAAGAGGCTCTCTTAGCTTGTAGAAAACTGTTATTAGCCAGGAAGGAACAGGGTGTATGCCATGAGGGAGGAGGAGGAAGAGGGCAGACGATGACTGTGATTAGGAAATTGATGGGCCAAGGCCTCTCCTCCTCCAAAGTTTCACCTTGTTTCAGAACGCCCCCCTCATCGCCTGCTTTCCCTCTTCCTGCATCTGTATAGCAAGTCTGAGACACCACGTGGGGGAGGAGGAGAAATAGCATAGCTCAGTGGTCTAGGTCTCTGGCTGTGGAGCCAGAGGTTGGGAGTTCGATTCCCCCATTTGTTACTCCCAGAGTATCTTGAGAAATCCTACGTGCTGCCCTCTACAGCAGTGGTTCCCAACCTTGGGTCTCCAGATGTTCTCGGACTAAATTTCACAGATGTTTGCACTACTAGCTCTGCTGGCCAGGATTTCTGGGAGTTGTAGTCCAAGAACATCTGGGGACCCCTGGTTGGGAACCACGGATCTAGAGTACAAGTGTTTGCCAAACTTTGCTCTGTTCCACTCTTCAAGGTGCCAAGAAAGTAAGCATTTGCTTCTAAAAAACATCTCCACCACTTTCTGAGTGGATTTGGCCCTCAGTCCTATGGCACAGACATAGCCCCGGATCTGTTATGAAAGGAAAAGGCAGCTCCCTACCAGAGCACCTTCCAGACATGTTGCGTAGTGATATCCACGACCCATGATGAGGACTGACTTCTGGTGGTAAAGCTCGGTCGCCAGTTTCTGGATCTCATCATCCATGCTCAGCACTTCTTTGATCAAGTCTACCGTGAGGAGCAAAAGGGGGACAATATTTAAAACATGCAAGTGCAGACATGAACAGAACACGGCTGGATCATTAGGGGGCAGCTGCCTTTGTTTTAAACACACTTTTCAACGTAGAAAAGTTTAGTCCAAAGTGGAACTCCTGCCCTGTATCTCTTTGAACAAGTCAGGGTTTCAGAAAATTCCTCTAAGCTTTCCATCCAGGTTCATTTCTGGTTACTTTGGTCGTTCCTGCTGGCTGCAGGAGCCAAGCGGGAGCAATCCTTCTGCACCATCCCTAAAGGTAGGCATCGGCAATTCTATCTTGGCGTACTATCCAAATGCAGCCAGCTACAGGAACTTGACAGGACCATGACCTCCCCTTCACAATCATCATCCTGTCCAGCAAAGGACAAATCAAAAGAGTGCATCCAGGGTGGATGGCTCCATAAACTGATAAAACAGCGATTTCGTATACATATACTAAAAAATTAAGAGGCTGCTGGAACTGGAGACTTAGACTGGGAGGTCCAGCACCTGGCCAGCTCCTCACCCACCGGCTGCAGCCTGGAGCTACACCACCCGGGAGCAGGGAGGGCAGAAGCAGGGAGACTCATCCCAGTATCCTCATACGACCCTGCTTCTTTGCAAGCATCAGGGCAGCATCTTTTTCTGGGATCAGAGGATGAGCCAGAGTAAGGCCAAGTTCCCAGGACAGTCATGAAATCTCAAGCCCCTGTTTTCGGCAAGGTAATTGGGCGCCTTGACCACAAATCCCGGCCTTATTTCATGACACTGAAGAACACCTGGTCCTAGAATCATGGAACTGGAAGGGGCCTCTGAGGCCATCGAGTCCAACCCCCCTGCTCAAGGCAGGAACCAAAATGGTCCAACCCCCGGCTCAAGGCAGGAACCCACATCAAAGCTGATTTGGCAGAGGGTGGTCCAGGGTTGGTGTGCTCACCACCTCCCAAAGTCATGGGTCCCACTGTCATACTGCTCTGACGGATCTAACAGACCCGGCCCCCTCCTCTGCAGGACAACCTTTCCAGTCTTTGAAGAGTGCTCTCCTAGCTCCCCTCCGTCTTCTTTTCCCCAAGGCTAAACATGCCCAGTTCTTTCCTTCTAAGGCTTTGCTGGTGGCCTTTGCTGCCCTCCTCTGAGCTTGTTCCAGTTTGTCAGCATCCTTCTTAAAGTGTGATGTTGAGAACTGGGCACAGGACTCTAGATGAGGCCTAACCAGTGCCGAATAGAGGAGGACCAATACCTCACGGGATTTGGGAGACCAGATTTCTGTTAATCCATCCTAAAATAGCATTTGCCTTTTTTGCAATCACATCACACTGTCCTGGACAAAAAGCACCTGAATCCCACACCTGTTTTGATATTTTCCTTCCTCCAAAGAATCTCACTCTGTCTGTGTGTCTGTGTGTAAAAGCTCTACATACCTGGCAATAACTTGAGGCCTCGCATGATTTCCTTCCGCCTTTCTTGCATGGAAATCCTGTCGTCGCACATCATGAGTGCAAACATCACTAGGGACACAAACTGGCTTGTATAGGCCTGCGGAAAAACAGGAAGTCGCTGTGAATAATTTGCACTGTTTGCTGAAAGGCCTCAGACTTCCTAAAACAGATGCTTAAAAGACTCCCAGGAGGAGGATGCTGGAGTTTCAGATGTCCTAAAGGCCGAACTGTCCAGTGCTTTCTTGGGGGAATGAACGCTAGCAGAGTTTTTCTGATCCACGGTGATCTGACTTTAAAATAATAATACTGTAATCTGGTGTGAAAGGGGACAAAAGCTCAATGAAAAATTCTGAGACACCAGAGTAACCAAGATGTTTACAGTTGACCCTTGACTTACAGACGGCTCAACTTACAGACTTTTCGAGTTACAGACTTCTCTGGCTGCAAAATTTAGATTCGACTTGCAGCTGGAGAATCGACTTACAGACCAGAAAAAACCCAAAATGGAACAAAAATAGAATAAAAATCGCTGGTTATGGGATTAATCAGTTTTCAATGCATTGTAGGTCAATGGAGATTCGACTTCCAGACTTTTCCACATGCAGCCACCATTCCAATACAGATTAATTCCTTAAGTAGAGGGTCCACTGTAATTTGGCAGAAGCTCTGGTGGGCTGCAGCCTACTTCGTCTTAACATCTGAGGGAGTGAACAATAAGTCACCAAAGCTTTTGCCAAGTTCTAAGTCTTTTAGGTGCCACATAGTTCTGTGCTGTTTCGTCTGCAACAGACTGACAGAGCTGCCGCCAACAGGGATTTTTTTTGGGGGGGAACAGAATCCCTCAGAGCTGCATTGGTGGTCTTAGTGGGATGAATGAGGGCCATGGGCCAGCCTTGTTGCAAAACAGAAATGGAAGCAGAGGAGACTGGAGAGGTGGGAAAGGGAAGACGTCCATTGGGTTTTAGAGACATGCAGATCTATGCTCTGTCCAGACAGTGACCAAGTCTGTCTGCCTCCCGGCAGACAGAATGGGAAAACATCCCTTTACCTAGAACGCTAGACGCTATCAAGCAAGGGCATAAGAAATGCTTGGTATCCCAACTCTACTCAAACTAGAAGGCTCGATTCCTGCAAACCCACAGCAGCAATTAAGCACAGCAATGATCTCTCGTTTGGGGCTGCCATTCCATCTGGTTCCACGAGCTGCCTTTTCGCTTTATCAGCAAAGACCATTTTCCCAAGCAAGTACGGTTAACTTCTACTTCTTATGCAAACTGGTGATGACATGCTCCAGAAATGCAATCTCCCATGGGAGATGAATGCAATGGGTAACATCTGTTCATCTTGGGGCAGGGCCAACACATGGAGGTATTCAAGCCAAATGAAGCCCCTAACACTGAAGAACAGGTTTTCCCATCCCCACAGAAAATGGAAGGGAAAGCCAAGGAGAAGTTAGAGACCAGAGCCGAGGAACAAACCAATCCTTGAACATAAATGAAGGAGAATCCCAAGCTATGAAAGGTTACTCTGAATTTGGGCTACTGTTCCTTGGCCACGCTGCCCGAAGGATTCTGGGAGTTGTGCCCAAGAAGCAGTGTTCCTGAGCTCTATGGGGACTGAACTCCATGTGCCCTGGTCCTTCAGAAGAGGCAGCATACAGAGAGCACCAAGAGAAAGGAGGAATGGCCACCTTCTTCTCCAGAGGACAAGAAGTGCCTAGGGCACCTGCACTCTCAGATCTGAAGAGGATGGTCCCTCTCCAAATCTGGGAGGGGAAAGGTTGCTCATGGGGCCTCATCAGGAGGCCACCTCTGAAACCCACACCCAGGTTGTTCTGAGCTGCCTGCAGGTCCACAGTGGCCGTGGACTTGATTCTGCCATGAAGCCACAGAGAGCCACTGCTCCCAGAATCAGGTTTCCACCTTCAAGCTCCCTACTTTAACCCAGTCCTGATGGGACAGGAAAGGGTGGCCTTTCAGATCTTCTTCTACTCCAGTTCCCATCATCCCCAGCCATGGCACATGCTCACTGGGACTGATGCTGTAGGCTAGAAAGAGCAGGAGATCCATGAATTCCCCCCTGCCTGCCTCAGAGGAAGGATCCCTGCCTGCTTGATGCCCATCACCCCTCAGAAGTTTCCCACACCGCTGCAGGAGACAGGAACGGGGTCTGGTTTTGGATTAGCTCACCCTCTCCCCCCCAAAATCTCCTAAGGCCTCCCTAGAGACCCACAGCCTGACAGTTTATACATTTTCTTCGTGGAAAGCAATGCACATATTTCCAGAAGAATGTATGCAGACCAAAATAACTCGGGCTGTGAGTGCCATGAACCCGGTGTCCCACCTGTGCCAACAAGTGAGCTCACCCCACTCTGGCTAGCTCAGTTTTACCCCTACTTCTCTTACAGGAGGCAACGGATGCCTGAGCAGAGGGATCAGGACCAAGGCTTCCCTCTGGTGAAAGGCCTCCTTAAAAGCATGAGGAGGAAGGGGAGGAAAAGGCTCAACCCCCTTGAGGATGAGTTTATTAATAGGTAAACTCACCCCAGAGTCCCTCTCTCTCTCTCTCTCTCTCTCTCTCTCTCTGAGGGTAGAGAGGAGACAGGCGGCTGCCTGGGGAGGGAGGGGAGAGCCCGGCCACACCCTCCTGGACCAGCGGGCATCCAAACGCTTCCTGGGAGCAGCCCATGAGTAGGTCCCAGAGTTCTCTGAACTGGAAGAGGAGGTGCAATTTGGGAGCAACCCACAACCTTCTCACACAATGGCCTCCCTGCTCCTCCACATCCTGATATTGCCGTGTCATCTACTAGGGTTACCATGATGGCACTCTGCTTCCTTCTGTCTCTTAAGGTGAATACAGTCCTTTTCTTCCAGCCAAAGGCAAACCTCTACCTAGAACAGCTGATGGATCTACACCAACCTTCCGCCCACCTCTCCATGGGCTCCCTGCTCCCCCAGGTCATGGCTCTCGGCCCCTTCCTCTGACACACCCGGGCTTACCCCTGCAGTGCCCATAACACCATCACCTTTTGCTCCTGACACAATATGGTTTGCCTAAGCAAAATTTATTGGATGCCATTTAAAACATCAAATAATATGGGAAAAGGCAACAAAGAGCTCAGGGAGAAGGATTACAAAGGAAATAACCTTATGCACTCCCCCTCATTTTTTTGCACCAACAGATCATTAATGCAGGGACATCTGTTTAATATATAACATACATACTGCAAAATTTATGTCAATGTAAGACGTTCATATATACAGACAATTCTGTTCTGGAGCCCCAGCTGTCATCCGACTGAGATATACGTTGATGGCTGCATGAACTATACATTAATGTTGATATATACAAGGCTGTGAACAGATATGTGGAACACTGAGAAGTTCAATAAAACTGGGGCCATCCATTTAAACAGAAGCCTTGGGCTCAGTCTCCCAGCTCGTAATCAATTCTGTTCTATACATCTTCCCCCCCCCCTTTTTTTTTCCTGTTCCAAAGAATCAGGGAGGTGCACAGCTAAGTACTTGTTTTGGATATGGCAGATCCAGATTGCGTTTCTGCCCAGATAGGATATGTATCTGCAATTCATTTATCAAGTTTCTCTGAAAGATGTATAGGATCTGAAGATAAACCAGAGTATTTATCAGGTTTCTCTCCTCAAAAGTGCTTGGTTCTTGGTTCTTGCAGGGAGTAAATGAAAGGAGGGTATTTTCTCATGTACAGTATCCTGACTACTGGGGAGATAAAGCAGGGGCACAGGTCATGGGCCTCTCCCTGTCATTTCATCTGTCTGTGAAAGAAAGCCTACTTCATTTTTAAAATACCAAATTCCACATGTACTTGTATATGGGATTCAGAGGAAGGTAAACCTATTACAAGGCACAAACACTCCCAAATCAAATGCTGAGGACCTCTGATACAAAGCAGGATGAATGCCTCCTTGAGGCAAGGCAAGCCCCCCCCCCGGCTCACCTTTGTGCTGGCCACCCCAATCTCTGGCCCGGCATTGATGTGAACCCCGCAGTCCGTCTCCCGAGATATAGAGCTGCCAACCATGTTTGTGATTCCCACGGTGAGGGCTCCTCTCTCCTTACAGTACCGAAGGGCCATCAGTGTGTCGGCCGTCTCACCTGCTGAGAAAGAGTGATACAGCCATGGTCCAAAAGTTCAAGACCACACACAGGAGAAGGAGAAGCAACTCTCTTCTGGCTCAGCATCATGAACAGAACATGCCAGAAGGAGATCCCATCACGGACAGGGTTTTTTTTTTGGGGGGGGGTGTTTCAATCCTTGCCTTGTACTTTGTAACTTAGCTGTACTTGGTTCCCTTAACATAAGCTGCCCTAAATAGACCGAGCAGCAGAGAAGGTACTACGGAAATGATCTGAATACATTTATAGGACAGAATAAATTTAAGTGCCCATGGTAATTATATACTTAGAAAAGAAATTGTGGGTAGCTGTTCCATTTCTTTCTTCCTTATTTAATTTTCAATATGAGGACAGGACAGGGAGTCTAAAAAGTCATTCATATAAAGTACTGTAGTATCACGTAGCTAACAAGTCCTTTGGGGAGGAAGAGGTTCATGCCCATGAGTCTCGCGCACACACACGCACACACACACACTCGAAGACCAGTCTCCAAACAGTTTCCCCCACTACTTTTACCCTTGTATCCAAATGGTGTCCTTTTAAAAACGACACAGACACTGCTGGTGTGGGAGGGGCTGGCACAAAGCCCCTTGGGCTCAGGGCCCAACCGGACCACGGGTTTTCAATGGCAACATTCAGGGTTTAAAAATCACAAGCTCAGCTTCATCCGAAGCAAGCTCTCTGCAGACTGTTCTCGGTTTGGCTTCCATCCCTGTCTGTCAGTCTGCCTGCCACCCGGACACCCTCAAGGCACAGGATCCTACCTGACTGGCTGAGGAAAAAGCAGACGTCATCTCTGAAGACTGGAGTGTTTCTGTCCAAGAAGTCGCTGGCTAGTTCCACCATGACGGGCAGTTCAGTCAGCTCTTCCAGCACTTGACGCGTCTTGTCAAAAAGAACAGAAAAAAGGAATGTCGTCCTCGGTTGCCACACATAAGCCAAACACATTTGTCCCTGCCCTTCTAACCAGAATGGAAACCCACTTTTACCCAGGTGGATTTCCAATGATGGTTTCTGTGGCAAGCTGCCATTTTCCAATGCTGACGCACAGGCGAGCAGGGCTTTGGCCAAATGGGAAGGGAAACCAGACTGGGTGTGCCCAAGGCTTGCACCCGAACTGTGATGTGCAAACCAGCCCCTTGTCTCTAAGAATTAACGAGTTAACTATTGACAAAGGAATGCCATCAGGGAGTGGTGCTTGTATCCAAGGATAAATATTTTAGATAGGTCATGACTCCGACTGATAATTCAGGACCCCTACGGAAGCCCCAAGGCATTTGTATGCTCTCTTCCAGCTTCAATAGTACAAGAGGCTCGTCAAAAAGTGTTTGCATCTGTTAATAAACTGATACAGCACTGGGTAAGCTCTTGGCTACCTGAAGAAGATGAAGCCGTCTGACATGCCTTCCACAATACACACGTTTACATACACACACACACACACACACACACACACACAATATATATACTTAAACATGTATGTGTACACATGTATGTGTGCGTCTAGACCTAGGTAGATATCTAGATACCTACATATTTAGGTATGTTCCCTGAACCGTGCATTTATTTTTCTGATACAAGGCGTTTGCTGTTCAATTCTTTTAGAAATGGTTCTCACAAGAAAGCAAACCAATAAAGGCAGATACTTACTGCAACTCCAGCATGGTAACTTGTCCCGCAAGCAATAAGGATCAGACGTCGACACCTCTGGATCTCCTTGATGTGATCTTTCAAGCCCCCAAGATTGACTGTTATAAATACAGATACAAAACAGCACAGAATGGTAACTCAAAAAGGAAACTATAACATAGAGTTCAACAAAGAGTTTAGGGATTATTTTGTCACTTTCTAGGAAAACAGGAACCCTTAAAAGTGGCCCAGGAGAGAAAAGGGCAAGCCAAATCTCCAATGAACACACCAGCAGTGGCACCTCAGGTATCAGACAAGAGCTGGGTAGAATCCCATTTTCACAAGGGTGTCAGGGCAGTTCCCCTGGGTTCCCCCCTCCCCACACCCAGACACAGGTAGATTAGCCAAAGAACCACACTGGAAAGGAGAGGCAAATTCATGTTCCCATTTAACTTCCAGAAGAAGACCATAGACCCTGTGGGAAGATAAAGACCTCCATGCTTAGCCCTGTTTAAATGGGCAACCCTTGGAACAGCTAAAACTCTTGGGCAGGGCTTGGGCATTACTTACCCGTGTAGTCATCAAAGTTGACTCTTCCTCTCATGGTGTTAACCACGGATTCGGGTTGTTCGAAAATTTCTTTCTGCATGAATGAACTGAAATTGCCTTTAAAAAATGACAAAAGGCAGATGGTATGGACACAATCATGCACTTTTGATTCTACTGATATAAAAACACCCCAGCACAATGGAGCATTCAGCTCAACCAAAAACGGTCCCTTTCATTCTGCTGCAGAAGAGAAGGAATGATCGGAGGAAGGCTATACAATCCAAGAACCAGTTTCTAACGGTAGCCTAGCTGGGCTTCAGGATGCAAAAGCAACATGCGCCCAATCTGGGGACCCTCAAGATGCAGTTCACACAATCCTCAAGGACCAGGACAGAAGAGAGCCTCCTAAGCAGACTAGATTAAATAAACAAAACGGGTGAGAGAGGAATGTGGGACAGAGAGATGAGCAAAAGGATGCAGAGGAGGAGCAAGGGAGCTGGAATTAGAGCCACTTCTAACACCCCTGAATTCTGGAAACCTCCACCACTGTGCTCTACAATTGGTTTTAAACCTAGAAAATATTTCACTCAAGATGCAGTTAAAAAAAAATTAGAAGCTGAGTTTAGAGCCCAGAAACAGGGAGGTCATCCATGTCAAAGCCTTCATGGAAAACTAGGTGTGAAAGAGGGATTTAAAGGAAGTAAGAGAAGTGGCATTACAGATGTGTTCTAGGAGCAGGCTGCAAGCATACAGGGAAGTGGATGAGAACAGAAAAGTATTTTGAGCAACAGGAAGTCCCTGGGATGATGGGGCTGAAGAAGTAAGGATCATGGGAAAGGCGTGCATTGTTTTTTTTTAATGAACCAGTGGGAAACATTTAAGTATGAGGACCAGATGGAATTGGGAAAAGCTATGTTAAAAGAGGAGCTTGGAAAATGGACATTCCAGATCTTTTTTTTTTTTTTTTTTTTTTTTTTTTTTTTTGGTCCTTGGGGACTGAGCTAAAAATATTGACATTGCACGAAGCACCTGGTTCAGCATTGAGCCCTGCTCTTCACGCTTAGCAATCCAGAGATGACAGGCTCTCTGATTTAACTGAAGGAAGCAAAGCAGGAGTTCTTAACACACCACTACCCCTCTGGCCCAAGAGAAGGGAAACACTCTCTACGCATCGGGAAAGGCACAGCCGTGGACCAAGTGAAGAAGCTGCCTCTGGAAGGGGCAAACGGCAGAGCAAGGAAAGGCACACACATGAGGGCTACCATCGAACAGGAAAGGGGGTCACAAAACAGAGGAAGGGAAGGAAGAAAGGCAGTAGCATTAGGAGTGTTGGGTTAAGAAGCGTCAGAGCACACACCCTTCATGATCTGCTGCAGTTCCATCTGGAGGGTCTGGACAGCCCGCCCAGGGTGATCGGCAGCAGTGCGCTTGATGCGGTGTATGGAGAGACGACCATCCACCACAGCGGCCACATCATCATCTTCCAGAAAAATGACTCGGTTGGTGTGCTCAATGACTGCACTGTAAGAGAGGCGAGAACCAGTTGACACCCATCTAACAAAAACCTGGGGAAGAATCTCAAATGTTATGTTTATCAACACAACTCACAAGTTACAAATTTACATGGGAAGGAAAGACACACCAAACAGAAATGTGTTTAAATGAAACAACTCCACTTTAGTTAAATACTTCAGCCAGGCTAGTTCCAGAGAACCTGTAGTATTAGCTATAGTATCAATGGTGGAAAAGTTGAACGATCCTTAGGAGAAACATCATTTGCAGTGGTCCTTATGCAAAATATATTTTTTATGTGATTAAAAAATGGAAATGGAATGCGCAAGTGGGGTGATAAGGCACCAGAGGTGCCCCCTGCTGATTATGCCCCCAGGCCCCATAATAGGCCTGCAATGCTATCTGTTCACTTGGGAGTATTTTATGGAAGCAACTCCTAAGTTCCTGGGGCTGTGACGGTTCATTTTTAGGCTGTGCATCCTCCAATGGTCTCAGAGCAACCGATATGGCCCCCTGTCCTTATTTCATCTGTATAACCACCCTGGAAGGTAAGGTTAAGCACAGAGATGGAGATCTGCTCACTCAGAAGGCCTCAGTTCCCCCCCACACACACACACACAGTCCTAAATTCGTAGAGTCTCCTTCAGCCGAGGCTAGCAGTTATACCTCACTCCTGCCAGGACCATACGGGAACCTAAACTCTCTTAACTTGGAGGTGGCAAATTATGACCCTTCAGGTATTGATGGACTGTCTTCCATCAGCCACAGCAGACGCAGTTTTCTGATGTGATATGATCCTCTCTTGGATCACATTCCTGTCAGCTGGGCAGCAGAATATATGCTGAAGGGGCCCAACAGAACAGCCTCCAACACGCAGCAAAAGGGGCGATGAGAGGGCCCCATCTTGCCACATTTGGCTCATAGTTATTTAAAAACATCTCAAGAGTGTATTTGAGTCTCCAAGCTCAGGCTCACCACCTATCTTTGTTGCTGGCTCTCGCTCCTGACGTGGGAGCCCCCGCCAGGGGCCGGCCGCAGGGCTAGTCCTGGCACCCCGCCAGGGCCACTCACCTGGCATCCGAGGCAAAGTAGTACTCCACGGCTTTCTCTTCCACAGGAAAGAGGCACGTGGTGCTGTCCACGCGAGAAAGGCTGCAGCTTCCTTTCTTGTCCTTCCCTGGAACATGAGGAGGCCCCCGATCAGACGCCACAACGGCCAACGTCAACTGACAGAGCACCAACGCGAGCCGTTCCTTTGACAGGACTCACCCAAAGTCACCCAGTCAGAGTACCAACATGAAGCTTGGCTTTTTCAACATGGCGGGCCCAGGAATAAATCCTGCGCGCAGGGTCTCCTGAAACGGAGGAGGGGGAGCTGTGCGAGCGCAGAGCCCCCTCCACCTTGTTTCGAAAGGACTTGTGCAGGAGACCTTCCCATGCCTTATGAGAACTTTAGTGAGGGGAAAAAACAGATGTGAATCCTTGAAAACCTACGGGTGTTGGGAGGGGCACAACGAAAACTAATCCCTTTAGGACCATAAATTAATCAAGACAGACCTTCAGCGGGGCTACTTCTCAGTAGTTCTGCAAGCTTTTTTTCCTTTTTAAAATTTCAGTTCTTCCAATTCTTATTAAAACAGTGCACGTTATTCACCTTAAGTCAACAATTTGGGGCACGGTTAAGCAGGCTTCTCAACAAGGAGAATAAACCCAGGTACATTTGAAAGGCTGCTTGGCTTGTTTTCCTTTACCCTATTAAGTCTAGTTACTTTCCAAATGCTAATCCTCAAATCATGTACCTCAAAGCTAGGATAGTTTCCGTGAAGACAATTTAAGTGGAGTTACTGGCCTGTGAATCAGGTATTACAAAAGCTTCACTCAGCCTGGTATTCTCCAGATGGGTGGAAGGGCAATTGCCACTGTCTACCGCCATCAAATGCCACAGTAGCTGGGGATGCAGAGAACACCAGGATGGGCAAAACTGCCTTAAGCAGCAGAGCAAGATAACTTCCAGAGAAAGAGAGGGTCAAATGGATCCTTTTGGAACCAACCACCATTATCTCTGGAAGACCCTGAAAACTGAGACCTCTCTCAATTATCATTAGATTAAGACACTTGGCAACCAGAGGAAGAAAAGACGCTTGTTTTGAAAACTATGGGCATACAAATGATGTACAGAAGTACTGAATCATAGAACCATCCGCTGTCCTTTAAAGACAAGGATCCATTTGGTTTTGCCTCTGTGTCATGCTACATTCATTTCCCCTAGCATGATCTGTAGTGCAACTCCAGTATTTCTCATTTGGACCATAATTACCCAGTAGCCCTTAGCAAACTAACTAGCACTGAAATCAGCAGTTGATTGGATTAGTATGAAAACATTGCTTTCATGTTGATACTGAGTTCTGAAAAAATTCAGTCAGTGCCTCTTAAACCGATTAGTCAGAGGGCCTCAAATCTGGATGTCGCTTTCAGATGAACGGAAATCAGCAGAAAATACAGAAACCAGAAAAGGGCAGGGAAGGGTCAGAGAAAGGAAGCCACAAAAAGCCATCCCCTAAATGATTGAGAACATGCAAATTATTCCCATCCACTGCCATCTCTTTAGCACGTTGCTGTTGCTTTCCGGGGAACAAACAAGGCAGGGGTTTACCATCTCATGGCTACCCACCCCCAGAATTCAGTATTACAAACAGTCAAAGCCCAATCTGTGTGTGCCGCTTCAGTGTGCATGCTGAGATGTCCGTTTTTTTAAATGACCTAAGAAAAAGAAGGCTCTGCTCAAAACTGGCAGAAAAGGCATTTAAAAGTTTGCTCATTCTCCTCAATGGAGAGCAAGAAGCTATGTGTTAAAAAAAGGGGGCAGTGTTTGTTTCATTCATTTCGAGAGATGCAGGAGGACTTAAAGAGAATTAAAATATAATGTCTCGGGCACCTTCCTCCAGTTTTATGGATATTCCATCAAAAGAATGATCCATAGGTTGCATGGCTGAAAGGGTAATATGAAAAGATTCTTCAACAAAAGGAGCTTCAGCAGCATCAACTTTAAAACAAAAAGTGGGAGTAGAAACAAGCAGGACACTTACTTCACCTCGGAACTGGGATCCCAGTTTACATAGTGGTTTTAAGAGTTGCTTCCAGTTATGCAAATGTTATTTCTCAGACAAACAGTGATGCCAGGTCTAATTGGTCCCCAAGAGGTGTTGAAGGGAAAGGGGAGAGCCGTCCCTCCCAGGTGTTTGCTGGAGGTTTGTGATAGGGACTGACATAAAGGCTGGCCTCCCTCACACACGTTCTCTGGAGGATTGCTTATTGTGATTCCCCTACAAGCCTTGATGTGATGCTATGCTTATGCCAAGAGATACACTTCCTGAACAATGCCTGTTTGTTCACAAAAGGCTGTGTTGATGGAAATACAGAAGCTACTTAACCCTGGTTCATTCGCTTTGAAAGCTACCACCAAAATGCTAATTTGCCCTATACCTAATACATAAAAGGAAATTATAGACACGAAAGAAAGCTGATCACTACCCAAAACTCCCCCTTCCGAAAGAACCCTTAGCAACATGGGAGCAGGTGGGGGAGAGGCACAAGCATCTGATTAGAGAATGCCCAGCAGCTTTGCTAAAACTTTACTGTCTGGAGGGTTTCAAAATGGGAAACCATAAGATTTCGGCTGTTATGGGCTCTACAGCTTTGCAACACTGATGTCTCTACATGTTTTCTGCCATAACTGCTTGAAAAATATAAGAACAAAGCTCAAATTGACCATCCCCTCCCAGCACTAATCTCAATCCAGCTACACAGGGTGGGTTGATTTAAATCACAAGTTGAATTTTTAAAAATGGGGAGGGATCTAACAATTAAATAAAAAACTTGTAGTTTTTTTTAAATTTTAACTTGTGATTTAAACCAGGATTTAAATGATTTTTTTAAAAAAATCATTGATTTTTTTCAATCCACCCAGCAGCCAAGACATGGGGCATACACAGAAGAAAGCTTTTAAATGTCTTCCACAGCATGAAATCTCCTTCTTATTTTGGGATTTTCATTTCACAGACAGAGTAGAAGTCTGACTTCTGTTATACTGTATAAAAATGAATGAGTGGGTGAGGGACACAGTAATTGCAAGTTTGGTATTTACCTGTCCTGTAGAGTATTGGAATGTGGTCAGTAGAAAGCTTGTGCTCACTTCGGACTCCGATGAGCAGGGGGCTTCCCCTCCTGGTGGGAGAAAGAAAGGGCATCCAGGTATATCACAGGGAAACGTGTGTTGCATCTGCAACTTTGAAAGGCTTGCACACTCTTATGGGTTACTTGCGAACCACCCAGCCCTGGCTGTACCAGTGTAGGTGAGATAAAGGAGATGAGATACAACAAACAGTCTCATCCTAATGCTGATCCAAAGACAGGCTGCTAGTACTAAGCAGGATTAAATAATATGCAAAGCTCTATCTATCTAGGGAAGGGGGTGAAATCTAGGATTTTTAAAGATATGTTCTGAATAAATAAAATAACCAGTGGTGGACATTTTCCAGAATTATTTATGGTCAGCCACGAAACTGGTATGAAACCAAGGAAAGCATCTGGAGGCAGGCCATTAGCTTGCACAGGTTCTACACAGATGAGAAAATGTGCGGATGCACAGGTGTGGACATGTGGGTTATTTTCCTAATGCTGAACCTCTGTGGATGGTAGGCAAAAGACAGCTTTAAGGAACTGGGATTTTAAAAACATTTTAATGGCAGCATATAACATTGACTGCTACACTGGGTCAGACTACTAAAATTCCCCCTAATTCAGAAGGGGCTAGAAATCAATCAATCTCTGAGGGACTATCAGCTTCAGAGGCAAGAAAAAGGGGACTCATCGACTGACCGAAAAGGACACCTTGTGTTGGGAGGAGACCTTACCTGGTGCCAACAGCTTGACCGGGATAGTGAATGCTCTTGAACACCAGGGCAAAAGCACCTTCCTTGGTGGGAGAAAAACAGATGTACATTTTACTTTTCCAGTGAGAAAAACAAGAAGCCCAGGCCTTGCAAAGACACACACAAACACACACCCGTGTACTTGCACCCACCAGGCCACTGCAAAACTCTGGCCGGTTTCAGAAAAAGCAGTTCACCAAGGCTTTCAGGGGCAATAAAAAACCACATGATGGTTGTGTAGCAGTTAAAAGAGTCTGATCTGAGAAGAACCAAATTCCAATTCTACCAGCAGAGACAGAAGGAAACATTGCAGCCCCTTGTAAACAGGCACTCATATCAGGAAGCAGGATGTTCACCCTCAAAAGAGGGATTCAGTTTCATAAAACCAATACAAATGCTCAACGCACAATGAATGTTAATCAAAAAAAATCTCAAGGATTAAAGAAACCATTTCTAGTTTTATGAAGTCTAAGGGAAGAGCTGGCTATGGTTACAAAGAAGATACAGACCAGTTTAGATCAGAATGCTTTCTGTTCATGTATGCAGCTCTGGCAGAAAGCATTCTGATCTAAACGAATGGTCTCCGGAGCACCTTGCGAAGCCCCAGTTGTGAAACAGAGTTGCACGTTCAGTGAAACATTCAGTTTTTAAACAGCTTCTTAGGGTTTAATGAAAATGTAGACTTACCAGCTGCTGGATAACCCTTTCGACCAAGGTGGTGAAGCTGATGTCATCACTTTCACGGTTGTCATACATGTACTTGACAAGCTTAGCAATCGTTTCAGTATCGGTTTCAGACTCAAATTCATACCCTTTGCTCTCCTGAAAGGAAATATCCAGAGCGTAATTCTTTCCAGCCACAATACCCCGCAAGCAGATTCAAGGGTTAAAGTTGAATCCACAGCACAATAAGCCTTACTTACCAAAAACTTCTTCAGATCCTTGTAGTTTGTAATAATTCCATTGTGGATAACAATAAATTCTGAAAGAGAAAAGAAACAGCACGTTAATGGCTGCAATGATTAAGCAGGTTACAAAAATTGCCAGCCATCCTCAAAGGAGCAAGATGGGCCGATGTACTATGACATGTTCGAAGACAAAGAGAAATGCATGCGGTACAGTCCATCACAGAAATGAGGGTGACCAACCCAGCGATCACCAGCCAATGATACAAGGAGGCTCTAATTTATTAGAATTACTTGGTAGCAGGCACTGGCCACCATGGTGTATGTCCTGCTTGGTAATGCAATCTAAGGGTACTTCAGAAACTACTTCTGAATCCAGCTGCAAGATATTCATTGTACCCTTTATGGTCCTAACATAGAAGAGAATACAGGCCAGCCTTAATGTGAGTCATTAATCAAAATTATTTGCTCTGCTAACTGGGACAGGAAGGACAGTTGGCCATGTTAAACATGCCGTGTTGACAATGTTAGCATGTTCAGTTTCACTGTGCTTTGATTGGAATTCCTGCCTTGAGCAGTGGGGTTGGACTTGATGATCTTATGGGCACCTTCCAACCCCATGATTCTATGATTTACCCATGAGAACTCCTCAGAATTAAGATGTTTGACAAGTTAATGATCTCTAATAACAGATCAACTGCAATTCTAACATGTGCTTGTGAACCGGGTAATATTTAAGCTTATTACAATATTCTACAGCAGGTCACTGGTATGCTCAAAATCAGAACTTTTTATCTAGAAGCAATCTGATCCCTGAATTGTCAATGTAGCCCTTTTCTTTTTAAAAAATCCTATAAATTGCAAGATTTTTTCTGTAACCCATGATGCATTGTTCAGAAAAGCTATTAAAGTCATCGTCGTAGGTAAGCAACACAAATATGTTATTTAAAAAAGGATTCAGCTTGGACCTACATTATTTAAAAACTGAAAATTATTTAAAATTGAAAATCTAAATTCTGTTGTCTAACCTGCGAATAACTGCTGAATTCTTCTGGGTCTGAAGTTTCTAAGTAGCTCTACATGGATTTAAAGGATTAAGACGATCAAAAATGACTTCTTCCTTTCTAGAAATCTGAGTGAGACGGACGCGTCTTGTGGTCCAAGAAGAAAGATCAACTAAAGTCTTGATGTGCATTAAAGAGCCAAGAGCATCCTCTGTTACACCAAAAACCAGGAGGGCTCTTCCAGGACTGCTCTCTACTGTTGCCGCCACCAACACTACACACACACACACACAAAATATGCTTTGAGCAGCACAGAATCTTACCGTTGTTTTTATCGGAGCGCTGTGGATGGCTGTTGACAGGGTTAGGCTCCCCATGAGTGGCCCATCGGGTATGAGCAATTCCAAGATGTACATCAAACTCAATATCTAGGTCTATATCCTGTTGTTCTAATAAGAGGGAGAAGGGGAAAATGTATTCTTAAAAACCACTTTGACTGTTCTCTGAATGAAAGAGGAGGGCTCAATGACCATCCCTTGCCCAGCAATTGGACTTTAGGACTCAGTGACACATTTTGACTAAAATTAAACATACTGTATAAACTGAAAACACTGATGATAAATAACAAATGCATAACGCACAGTAATTTATGACCTCCCCAGAAATAGCCGCATTGCCTGAAATCCTGTTGCTTAGAGTACTAAGTGCCACTAGAGTTGATTCACCAAATCCCCACAGAATCACTGAGCCAACCCCTCTGTACATTCCATGGATTCAAATGGGCCTACTTAAGTTTCAACTTATTATCCAAAACAGTCACAACTAGAGTAAGCCTAGGCATGGGATTTTCAGAACTCCCATGATTCGGTGGGAACATCTCTCGGCTGAGTAGGCCCCCCCCCACTCCCATGCTAACCCTGCATCATGTCTTTGAATCAGTGCCCCACTGCACCACAGGAGTCAGGAGGACGCCCTTACACTCACAAAAGTGCATGGAGGAGGGGAGACAGGTTTCGACCCAGGCTGCCTCCATCAGACCCAGTAATGTGCAAGAAAAAGGAGATCTCCACCCAAATCCACTCCAGAAAGGTCCAACACTGTTTGGAATTAAGTGTGAACCACCCCATGAATGAAAAGCACCATGCTTTCTCACTGAGTAATATGGCCTGGCCATCTCTTATCACAGCATCTAAGGCAGACCTTGCTTGGAACGCCAGAGGATCAGTGATAATTAAGCAAAGTTGTCTTTGGGGTAGCTGTACATTCTGGGACAAGGGGACTTGTAAGCTGTTTCTCCTTAGGCACACAATAGACCACTATCCTCTCTTCTTACACTACCCTCCCTTATTTCTGAAGTGGGAACATGTGCCAGAGGGTGGCAAATGGCAGAGGATTATACCTACTCTTGGCTCAGCAATAGGAAATCATGCTATCTAGATGGGAATGTGGGTCTCGACCTCTGGAATTTTCATCACAACTGATAAGGATGCTTCCCAAACAGGGCGAGCAAGTTTCCCCGTGGGCTGGCGTTTCAGAAGGATACGTATATAATCCCACCATTCAGGAGACATATGAAGGCAGCATGTGGTGGGGGAGGGAGAGAGCCATTCAATGGGTCTTTGAGGTTATGTCACAGAATTGCTCCTGAATGTTATAGAGGGCACTGAAAAAACCCAAAACAAAGCCAGAGGATGGTGTAGTGTTGAACTTACTGTTTACTTCTTCATCCAAAGCCTTCACTTTCCCCTTCTTTTTGATGAGTGTAATTTTGCTGGCATTGGCCTCCCAGTCTTTATCATTGCCTCCATCAATTCCGACTCCTTAGGAGACAAAAAGCAGTAAAAACAATGGCATGTGAACAAAAACATGTCACATGTTTAACTAACAGATTTCCCAAAAACAGCTACATAAAGGCCTACAACTGTTTTTCTCAAGCCAGAATGAAAGTACAGGATGGATGAACATACAATCTCTTAAGCATCTCTTTTTTTCACACAGCTTCTTCAACACAATTAGGATTTCAGTACAGAGATCTCCCTAGTAGACTGCTATAGAAGTCTGGAGAAGTTCTGAAGTCTTGCAAACAAAAAAAAAATTAATGGGGAGCAGAGAGGATTTTCAACTGCAAGACACAGTAAAATGGTCTGTGGTTCCCTTTGAGCTGCTGTTGGTCTGACATGACTCAATGTTCAAGTCTTTCAATGGCTCAGGAAAAATTCTAGCAGCAGTTAGGATTGTTTTCCCCATTCAAACAATACATCTTCTGTGGAGAGACAGATTTCCTCTCTTTTTTCTGGAAAAAGTGCTTTTAGTGATATTTCAAGGGCATAATTTGAATTCAGTGGTGCCAATTTTCAGGCATATATGTACAGAATCTTCCTTGTACAAGTCAGGGGCTCTTGACAAGTTCTCATTGTTGGTATCTTAAAACCAAGGTTTCGTGTTTCACCTGTACTAGTGGAGAACTTTATCAAATTTGATTTCTTGTGACCAAGAAATTCTATATTTCTTGGTCACCAACTTTCCAAACCCAGAGGAAGTTGAGGGGCCTGTTTCCAGCCCTAGTCAGTTCTGCCTTTAGATGCAAAACTTCCCCGAAATGCAAGCATGAAAGCAGCACAGTAGCCCTGTGCCCAACAATATGACAGCTAAAACTACATATGATAAAGACTATGTGGCACCAGGATCTAATAATTAAACTTCATAAAAATTGTCCACCATCTAAGCATACTAAAAGAAGCTCAATTGAGGCTGACCATCAGGAAAAACTTCCTAATTGTTAGAGCAGTATAACAATGGAACCAATGACCATGGCAAGTGGTGAGCACTCAAACACTTGAGGCCTTCAAGGGAAAATTGGGCCACCCTCTGTCAGATCTGCTTTGATTTGGATCCTGCCTTGAGCAGTGGGGGGTTGACTCAGACTCGATGGCCTACAGGCTCCTTCCAACTCAAAGGATTCTATATGGAATGGAGTAAATAATCCCCTTGTGTGTGGTAGGTACCCCACAGAACAGCAAGCAACTGCCACACCTGTGTGTTACGCTAAAAATAATGGGAATGAGCAACAGCGTGGACTGGACTGGCAGCCTCCAGGGAGCTCCTAAAGAAAACTGTGGAAGGTTGCGCTTCCGTTTTTACTTGACACCCTTTCTACCTGGTATGAACTAGCAGCTTTTGTTAACATTAGCTGAGGTTAGGAAGCCATCTTGAGAAACCAGTCCGAGGCTGGCTTTTGAACTACCTACGGCTCATGTGCCATTTGTCGCCCCAGGGCACAAACGAACAACTGCTGTTCAATCAAAGCCAAAGCTGCCCATACTTTCCTGGGCTTTTTGAAAACAAAGGAGAGCAAAGCGCATAAGCCTCAGCCACCAAAGCCCAGGCCTTCTGGCTCTAAGCCACCAACGTTACAAGCCACTCACCGGCAGAATCATATCCTCTGTACTCCAGTCTCTGCAGCCCTTTAATAAGGGTCTCCAGAATCTCTCGCCTTGTCCGGGGAACATGGTAGTTCAGGTAAGCAAAGATGCCTGCAAAATCAATATTAAAAAAAATTAAAAGGTCATAGTAGCCGAATTCCCTTTGTAACCACAAGTATGAACGAAAACAGTGTCACATAGGATCCCAGGACAGGAGCTCAAACATTGCTGGGAAGGAATCCATCCTCTGCTCTGGACACTATGAGCGAAGAGTAACTTGGTGTCTTCACAACGTCCAAAGCCCTAACTTCTTTTAAAAATGTCACCAGACTCTGGTAAACTTTCAGAACCATTGCTCGATCACCTTGTAGAGTAACTGATCTGGGTAAATGACTTCCGAATTGCCAGGATGTTTACACTAACCAGCCCTTTGAAAGGTATGGCCAGTGTTAATATTTTTTACTTCTTGTATCTTCTTTGTTATTCTGATCTACTGGCATCATCAGGACAAGCGTGCCTATAAATCGGTGGCTGCAATATTGTACTCAGTGCTTTCTGAAAAACTTGGCTATATCCACAAAAGTGTATGCCAAATAAAGGTATTTTTTTTTTTCTGTCTCAGAGGGGTCACTCTCAGCAGCAAACATGCTGGAGAAGAAACTTCACAGCTAAACTGCAGACAAGTCCCTGCCCCGGAATGAATTTACATATTAGAATCGGTCATAGGGAAGACTCGTGTAGCTGGCTATGAGATTTGAGGAAGAAACAGAGCCACAGTGGGGAGAGTGACCAAGCTTTTCTCCAAAGAGAAGGAAGGATTTAAAGGGAACAAGATGGCATTATAGACATGGTTATTGCTCCCACCCTAAGCACAATGGCTTGAATCCAAATTTTCTTTCCATAAACGCAACTGAGCTTATGGAATTAGGTTTCCCCCATCTTTCCTCCTGAAAAGCTGCTGTTTGGTTTGACCCTAGAAAAATCTAGCAAGCTCTTAAGGTTACAAGACCTCTGTACCTCCTGATGATAGGATCTAAGCCTGCTCCATATCATCATCTATATACCCTTCAAATTCATGAGGCAATTTGGGACCTCAAAGCAACGTGTGTGTTATATATATATACTGCCCCACCACACTTAAAACTCTGGGTAGTTGACACCCAGGCTACACTATAGTCAGTGACATCTATGTGCTCCTCCCCCCAATAATTAGCCAACATGTTTAAGGTATAATTGACTACATATAAGAAGCACCAGGAATCGATACCAGGGAAACTCAGAAAACACACATACAAAAGTCAGTATACTGTTGTCCTCCTTCTCAAATACAATAAACCAATCTATAGAAATAAAACTCAAAATGGCTTTGGGCTTATTAATAACCTCCAGGAACTTCCTCTGAGAAAGGTCATGCTAGCACTCACGTCCTGCTACAGTATACTGTGACGTGGGTTAGCAGGAAGGAAAAATGGTCAGTAAGAAGAACAGAAAACACAAATGAGTCATTCATAATATTCCAGAGCATCAAGATTACTAAGAGATTATAAAATATAAGTCAGTGAGGAAATACCCAACAAAGCTCTAAATTATGTCCCAGCAAAAGAAGAGTCCAGAATCGCCAAAGCAAACCATCCTAACTATTTAGGAGCTTCCAAGAGGAACCAAGAGAAGAAAGAGGAACAAAAGATCAAGGGGTACGGCACTTTTTCTCCTGAGCATCATCCACAAATTCTCTAAAAATAAAATTAAAAAAAAATATGTTCCTTTAGGTGCTTTTTAACCCTTAGATACTCTTGGTGGGAAGAGTTAAGCCCGTACTTATGCTGGTTGCCTCAAGGGAGGTGCTATCTCACACTCGGACAACCACAACGCCAAGAATTTAAAAATTATTTATACCTCTATGGCAGACCTGGGCAAAGTGCAGCCCAAGGGCCACATACGGCCCGCGATCAGTTCCTATCCGGCCCACGGAGTTTTGAACATCAAAACCATTTATAGCTTTTTGTCTAAAGTTGATCAGTTGCTTATCTTTAACATACCGCAAAAAAAACTCTTTAGTATTTGTGAAGATTAACAAGTTTAAAATAAAAACAACCATAACATCACTGTTTCATTTTATTTTAAAGTAAAGTTGGTTCAGCCCCTGAACACAGTTCAGATTTTTCATGTGGCCCCCTTGTAGAAATTAACTGCCCACCCCTGCTCTACGGGCACTAAAGTCTCACTTATCTAATGAGAGGCAAACTTTTCTAGAGACTTGCAAAAATAGAACAGTTTTGGGCTGTGGAGTGTGAGACAACACCTCTGGAAACAACAAATCTTCTCTCAAGGAGGTGAATGATCCCCCAATCAAAGGCCCTGCTCATCGTTATCTCCATCCAAGCACGGCATTACTCACGTACAAGCAGGAGATGGTAGCGCAGGAACCGTGAGAATCTGAAGTAGGCAGGCAAACATAGCCGCACTTAGCTGTAATCAAATTTTCTTCCTGCCTCACACTGGCAGTGCAAAGCAAAGCTGCCGTTTCAGTGCCTCAGCTACTACCCTCTTCCTCGTCTTCCTCACCCTCTCACCTGTGGGGAACTTCTGATCAGGTACAACAGAAGAATCTGCAACTATTGTGACTACCTCATTCATGATCAAGTATTGGTCTTCCCCAGGCAGGAGTGTGGAAGTCAAGAGATCTCCCATACCTGAAGGCATGTGAGAAGCCTCTGTGATCCCAAGTTGACTTTGGTCTGGAATCGGCCATGGGCTGCAGGGAGCCTTGGAAAGCCGAGCAGCTTACGGCTGTTTTCTGAGCCTCTGGGTTTAAGGGAAATGGAGATGAGCTCCATTGCCTCTCCTCAGTTGTAGACAAAGGACAGAGATTCAGCGCAATTGGAGAAGACCTTACACTATCCCATTATGTAAAAAGGGAGAATCACCGCCATTTAGGTCACACCAGCATGATAAGACCGTTTGAACCCTGGATGAAAACTGTGTGTGCCACATGACAAAATATAGAATTGGTCTAAACCCCTCTGACATTGGCTATGTCCACAATTTTAGAACAAGTGCACCTACAAGCACCGCACATATTTCTGAGATGCATCACCGACTACACAGTTTCGCCAGCTAATAGACATCACACACCCAAGGGCACTTACTTATGGCACTGACCCAGAAGTGCAGAAACAGGAGGAAATAAGAAAGAAAAGTTACAAATACTGTAAATATAGTCCTCATAAAGCGCGTGAATAAGATCATAGTCCATAAGAGTAGTTTCTCTCCTATAAAGTCTGATAAATCACTTGGCAAACAAATCCCAAACACAAACTTTACAGAGTTAATCATTTGTGGCCTAAAAAAAAGGAAAAAAAGGAGGCAATTTTTGCTAAGTTAGTTCTCCATACTTGTTTCCCTGGAAGGGGACTATAATCTGTCACAGCTGAACACACAAAGGCCATTTAGAAATTTATGGCACATAACAGGTATGCAGGTTTAATAGCACAGGTATGCAGGTTTAATAACTACTAAACAGTGCAGCTATTCTTTTCCCAATATTGGAATTCTGGATTAGAGTCACACATAGAATCGTCAAGTGGTGTCCAACAGAGCCTGCACAGAAGGCCAGCAAAACCGGTTTGCCACTGCGGAATAGGGTGGGAGCCACTGTGACTCCAAGGCTGTCTTCTCCAAACAGGTGCCTTCCATGTATTTGGGGCTGCACTGCCCACCAGCCTCAGCCGATCACAAAAGGGTCCAGGGAGTTGGTCCAAAACACCTGGCGAGCCCCAGGTGGTGAGAGATGACCACAGACAAAAGAGCAAAACTGTGTGGCCGGTCTTGGGGATAACAGAAGGAGCACAAACTGCTTGCTGGTGCATTTTCGCAAGGAGATAGTGGAAGAGAACTGTAATTTTCATTCACGTAAAAAATACAGGGAGTCCAAAACATTATGCTAGCAAATTGCCTCGGATTAAGCAGTCACGTTATCTGTTGTGTCCCGAGTGACACAATGAGGTGTGCAACCGGTAATGTCTAACTCACTTCAAAAAGTTATGCTGTTTGTCTTATGACACAATGAGGTGTGCAACCGGTAATGTCTAACTCACCTCAAAAAGTTATGCTATTTGTCTTACACTAGTGTAAGTAAGCAAGAGGATACTGGCCACTGTAATATAAACAGAGGAATAATATAAATAATACAAGAGTTTATATCTGGGCACTGTTCTTATCAGGGAACCGGACTGAAACACAAACATGTTCTGCTATGAAAAGTAATTTAGTGTTAGCTGAATTCCTTGACTTCACTGCAAACCAGCTCTTCCAAAAGCAGCTTTAAACAATAGTCAGCTAATACTGAAGCTGGATGAAAACCCTAGATCTCTTTGGCTGAATGCACGAAGCTAGAAAGTATTCAGCAGGGAGAAAGAGAAGGTGCCATTTCACTCTTAGCGGCAGTTATGGATCAGGCCCCAAACCTGAACTGAACCATGCCAAGCGCTCAGTATTTTGATAAGAAGCGGAAGGAGATAGGGCACAAAGACAGGATGCAGAAAACAGTTTGGAGTGGGGAGAGAAAGAAGATGCTACCTCACTCCATGCGGGGGGGGGGATCAAAAGTGGATTGAGTAACAGTGGGAGGTGGGAGGAAAATCTGTAGATTTGTTAGAGTTCTTGTACGGAAGAACAGGCTAAAAATGACCTAAGCAAACTGACCAATAGCAAAAAAAAAGAATGCATTTAGGTGTCTCTATTACATGGAATCCCAGTCCTCACACTTAAGTCAAGCCAATGGTTAGAAATGAACAGTGTTCACTCTTACTTTAGGATGGACCTTTAAAGTAGGTCTTAGGGTCCTATAGGAGGACCTTGCAATCAGAATATTTTACCCTCTGCAAAGAGCTAGTGGTTGATGCCTCTTCATTGCTCAACAAGAAAAAGATCTGAGACCTCATTTCAAAGAGGAAGCCAATCCTTGGAATTTTCTTTAAGTGCTGTGGAAAAACTAGGTGACATCAAGTCAAATATGATGTTGTACTGATATAATTATTAATAGAAAGTGGGCCCATAAGACTTAGTTCCTGGTTTACCTTTGCGGCAAATTTTAATCAGTTAAGAGTACCTAGGTGCGTAACAGTTCCGGCACAGAGCTTTTTGGCTTGTTTGCCTAGTGCATCTTGTGGCTCTGATAAGAAGAACCTAGTCACCTGTACATTGTTTTGGATGCTATGAAGCGGAAAGATGGATGAACACACTGATTTGGCTAATAAGCTGTCAGTCAGAGACAAGCAACCCAGATATAGAAATATAAAGATAAAATGCAGCCTTGAGGACCAAATCCCAACAATCTCAACCACGTAAGCAAAACAATCCCCTTATCACAAAAGTTGATCTCATCAAATTTATTCTCATCAAAGGGCTTGCTAGTCCACAGAACCTTGTAATTCTCTCAAGTTCTGAGACATAGCATCCAAGTATCTACACCTTTATTCAGATATATTTATAAGGGTGTGATATAAGCAATGCACAAATTCGGTACACTCCAGAATCTGTAAATTGCACATATCTCCTGGATGAATCTGGGAAAAAGTCTCAACTGTAGCATAATCAAAGCCAACTATTTATAGCAGCAATTCCCTCTGCTATTCTTAGCAATGTGCCACTTCCCATTTTCTAAGACAAAGCTACGTAGCATTAAATACACATGAACAAACAGAGACTGCACCTCTGATGTTCTTCAGAAGATCACTTTCTGAAAGTGCACCAAGCCAGGGCTCAGGCAAGACTCCAAGGACACTGGCATTTGAAGGGGGTGGGGGGGAGGAAGAGAGATGTTTCAGATTCTGTATTCGAAGGAATCTGGAGGAATAACTTAGATGTGGAGAAGGGCCTGAGAACCCAAACTATTTCTTCCATTGTCACACTACCCCCTAGACCCTTATGCCTTGGGTGGGGAACCTGCAGCTCTTCACATATTACTAAATATAAATGCCATGGTGTCTCACATTTGGTTATGTATGGCCAAGGAATTTAAACCCAACCTCTGGAGGGCCAGCGGTCCCCCCTCCTCTGAGACCTTCATCTTCCTGCTGCTCCTGACAATGGGGGCAAGATCAGGGTTACACGTAAGAAGGCTTTTCTAGGGGTGGCACCCACCTATGGAACCTCCTCCTTGCAAAGGCTTGCCTGACACAATACAGTTCTCATTACCTTTTTCTTGATAGTCATCCTGAATATTTCTTTAAAAGATGGGATGGAAAGGTCTAAACTAAATTCTGCAATAAATAAATGTGATGGCAATGTACAGGCCAACGGATCCACTTCTCTGCTTTAGAAATTCAAGTCGGTTTCACTGCCATCTATCTGTGCCTCCACAGATCTACGACAAAAGCAGGCAAAGACCTTTCTCTTCAGGCAAGCTTTCTCTCAGTGGCTGGCTGACTAAGTGGAGTTTTTAAATGGACAGTTATGCATTACTGCTTTGACTGTGTTTTTCGTATTGCTTTTCTCAGAGTGGCATTTGTTTGTTACTTTTTAATTTTTGTACTGTATACCTATTGTTTTTAGCTTTAACAATTGTCTTTTCATGATGTAAACTGCCTTTGTATACTCATTTTTTTAAGCTCTAAATATTATCTTTTAATGATGTAAGCTGCCTTGGGTCCTTTTTCAGGAGAAAGGTAGGGTACAAATATTTTAAATAAATAACACATAAAATGGATATGCTTGGAAACAATGTAACAAACAACGCCCAAGGTGGAAACTGAAATTAAACTAATTTTCCCCCTGAAACATTCTGCCACACTGTATATGCTAGATACTACAAAAAAAGGCAACACAGAGTAATACAAAGTTTCAGAAAGGAAATACAAGCCAAACAATTAGAAAGACTTCTGTGTTCTAAAACACACCATCAATAAATCCATGCTTTATCGTAAGGTCTTGCAAAGGCAGATGCTGGCCATTTATCATTTCTCAATTTTTAAAAAGTAGCAGAGAGCTACTTTTTGCTTACATCACTCTGTAAAGCATCATATATGCAAATACTGTAGTACACCTATAAACACAACAGTAGTACATTCTGGAATTTTTAAGTTTGCCCTTTGGGAGCATTTTCTTGCAAAAAGCAAGACAGAAAGCATAATAATTTCTCCCCAGTTCTTTGCTTCCTTACCAGATCTCTCCAAAACAAGCCAAATTCCTTCTGCATTTGGGTAGATCAGATATTCCTCTATACCCCAGTTGCTGCTCAGGTTGGCCAGCTAGATAGAATTCCCACTGGTCCAGGTAGAATTATTATCATTGAAGAATAATTAGAAAATGGGAGGGAGAGGCAATATTAAAATCCCCGGCCTCGGCTTTATATTTACATACACACATCATGAGCTTTTTAAAAGGATCTCTTTATCAGGCCCTCTGCACATGCCCCAACACACCCTTCTCAGGACGACCAGCTTCTCCAAGCATTATCCTTCTGGGAAGGAAAAGGCACTCTAGACATGGGCAAGAAATCAGAAGTCCAAATTGGGGCTGGAGAGCCCAAGAGGGCTGGGGTTTGGGGTTGGAGTGGTATTGGGGGCCAGGATACTAACCCCCAAATGAACCTCCACTGGGGAGGCAGGGGAGGCTCCCTCGCTTGGTTTGTTTGTTATACAAGTCAAATAAACGAAATTTCTTTGATTTATATACCACCCCACGAAGGCCAGCATTACCTCAGACGGTTCACAGGTGAAGCTTAAAACCACTTTAAGACCCCACACACACACACCTAGCAGCAACATAATAACATGCAAACGGGACGTCCATGCATTGCACAGCCCTAAAGTCTAAAATTCATATAAAATAAAGATTATGCCACGGATTCTGGAGACGCCCTTGTGCAAGGCAGCCTGGAACAATCCCGTGGTGTCTGTGTGTGTGTTTTTGGGGGGGATATTTTTTTACCAATTTCCTGAACAGAAGGAAGTGAAGATAGGTAGAAATATGGAGAGAGAGAGCCAGAGAGAGAGATGGATGGCGCCTCTGAAAGGGGAACCTGTTCCAGGGTCTGGGTCTCTTCGACCCCCTTCTTGGGGGGTGGGGGGGATCTCTGCACATGCTCTGAGGAACCCATCCCCGGGAGGCTCACGGGGTGTGTTTGTGTGGGGTTCCCCCCCTCTCTCTCTCGAGCTAAGGCAACTCTCCCCCCCCCGCCGCCGCCCCCATTAAAGCCTCCTTCTCCACAGCGGCCCCTCAGGAAGACCCCCCCCGCCCAGCCCAGCCATCCTCGGCGGGAGCCCCTCCGTCCCCTCAGCCCTCAGCGCCGCTCGCTCTCTCTCTCTCTTTCCCCTCATGAGGCGCGGCGCCGCCCCAACCCTCGCCTCCCCTTCGCCTTCGCCTTCCTCACCGCACATGGTGGCGCCTGCGGGGACCGGGGCTCTCCGGCGGCTGCCAGGCGAGACGAGGAGCAGCAGCAGGAGGAGGAGAAGGAAGAGCAGGAGGAGGAGGAGGAGGAGGAGAAGGCGGTCGCGCTCGGGGCTCGCGGGAGGCGGAGGAGGAGGAGGCGGCCTGGGTCGTGCCGATGACGAC